CTATCTATCTATCTATCTATCTATCTATCTATCTATCTATCTATCTATCTATCTATCTATCTATCTATCTATCTATCTATACTGTGCTCTATGCATACATCTGTGTAGCAATATGGATGGTGTTCTGTTGGGAAAACAGAGGCAAACTAAACAAAAACGTAGACGTTTATGAAGAATTTTTAATCCGTTCGCATGGGAAAATCCAGCAGTCCAACCTCTGAAAGTTGATATTATTGTTTTATTTCCTCTTTTGACTCTGTTCTTTCACCCATCGTCTCCTCGATTACAAAGCTTGTGGCCAGACGTGAGACCTTCACCCACCCCCTCTCTGTATCATAACGGATCCAAGCACACCTCCTCCGTTCATTCATTCATTCAGTCCCCTGGTGATGACGAATCTGTAATAAAAACAACACTGTTATTCAACTCTCAGTTGCAAATCCCCTCCAGTGTCAATAAAAAAAGTGGTAATATTCAGATGAAAAGATGCTGATACAGTGGCRCGAGATTGATACAAATTTGTTTTGTATTTCTGAGAATTCTCTATGCTGTCAGTGGATGCAAGTGTTTATTTGTCTGAATGTTAGTAAAATGACCCACTTTAAAGTGCCTGTGACATTAATTTCCTTCAAATATAAAAAGTCAAAGAAAACATTTTTATTTATAAGAAACTTGGCATAATTTGACCCATTTTGTCACAAAACTGACATATTTTCTTTGAATTTGGCTCAGCCAAAGTGAAACAGGAAGTGACATCAAAGGGGAACTCTTTAAGAATGAAATCTCCCATTTGTTTATTGACACAATAATATGAGAAGTGACTCTCCTTTCTTTCTTTTTAGTGACTCAAAATAATCTAAAGAAACATCCAATTCTTCTATGTCAGTGTTGTTAGTCATTTTAGCAATGCTCTGTTAATATTCAGGCATTCCCCTTTGACATCACTTCCTGTTACTACAGTTGTGAAAATATCAACAACTGTTCATCTCAGCGGTGTGAGAAAAACATTTGTAATATGTTATTCATATTATCTTTCCAAAGGTGTATTCATATTTATTACAAAAATTTGATGTCACAGGCACTTTAATGAAACTCTCATTATCAAAAAATGATTAACCAGTTCAAAATGGCCGCTACAGAAACCACAAAAATGGCCAAAACTCGGTCGGCTACATAAAAACCAACATTAATATACGATTTAGAGTTTAAATTTCTCCCCAAACACAAGTAGACGTTTTTAAGAAGCCAAGTTTTCTGCTCAAAGTGCCCAAATATTTGTAAAGCCTGTCGATTTGTGCGYGTTTCTGATTCCAGCCCATCATCCTGGAGGATTACGCCGACCCTTTTGACGCTCAGAGGAGCAGCGAACCGAAGGAGGCCGAGAGGCTGGGTGAGAACGACGGCTACGTGGAGCCGTACGACGCTCAGCAGATGATCACAGGTGAGAAACGTTCCAGCTCCTAAAACACGTCTGACCTCACAGGGTCTCCTCAGAAGCTGAACTCGCTCCTGTCGTACTCCCCRCAGGGTTGCTTGTGGACAATGGGTGTAGCTTCCTGCCCTCACTTCCCCTCTCCCGTCTCCATTTCCTGCTACTATTCTCTCAAAAGGAAGTTTTCCTTCAGTGCCGACCGGCGTTGTAGACCTGTCAAACCATTCATCACCCCCCCCACCCCCATCGTGTCAAAGGAAATTTGGTGTTTTGTCATTTTAATCGTGAATTATTTAAACAAAAAGAGTCCTGATGTGTAAGCTGCCCAAGCCAGAGGCACTAATGCACCCCCATACCATCAGAGAAGCAGATTTTTGAACTATGCGCTGATAGCTTTCCTCGTCAATACAAAGAATGTGACTGCTGTGGTTCACAAAGATAATTTAAAATTTTATTTTCAATTTGTTTCTGTAAAGTTGTTGGTGTTTGCGTATGGTTTCTTATTTGCATAATAGAGCTTTAAGCAGCATTTCTAGTTGGAATGATGAACTAAGTTCACAGATGAGGATTTGACTAAATGTTCCTGAGCCCATGCGTTTATGGTTAAAAACTGAATCAAACCAGTTTTTAATGCAGTGGAAGTTTGCATCAGTCCAACCTCTCAGCAGAGTTTTTAATCTTTAATCCTTTTTTTTAACCGGYCAGAGATCAGACGTCGGGGATCCAAAGACCTGCTGAGGACGTGTGTGTTAATGGACGCGAGCGAGGGAACGATGGAGGAAGGTCAGCCTGCTCCCTTACAGATTTATGACCTTCCGTACGAAGGAAGTGGTGACGACCAAAAGATGAGAGTCGGGAGGTCGGAGCGAGACCTGCGTCCAGCCTCGGAGCACGAGCTGCCCTGGGAGTGGAGGAAGCAGCACATAGTCAGGACTCTGTCAGGTACACAGCTTCTGTCACCACTTTAAAACTCACACGTTTGCCCAGCTATCTATTTGGGGACATTCCTTTGACTTCCATTACATTTCTGCAGCCTAACCCTGACCACCTAAGGCTAACCTCACCTGACCCTAAAACTAACCTAAACTCAGTTCACACCTTGGTCCTAAACCCAACCCCCAACCCACCAATGGCATTTAAAACAAAACGGGGACTCGACTTTTGTCCCCAAATGTAGGCGTTTTGTCT